CATGCGTCAAAAGGTCAAATCGCCCATGCTTTTGATTAAAAATTGATGGTATGCTGGCCTAATGTCATATGGTAAATCTGCCTTTAATAATAACCTAGCGGTACATGCAAGGTGGTGAAATCAATTGTAGGAATATTTTTATACTGTTACGCTAATTGTTTCTGATACATATACATGTACAATTTTTTATGAATAATTTATTTTTAAAGTTGCTCCAAATGCCATGTACTGTATTGTAGTGCTTGTCAGCTCATGAAGCTCATGCTGTTTAGCTCACTTAGCATGCTTTGTGGGAAACCCTGACTATTTATAGTTTTCCCCCTTTTTTAAGACTTGAATGCTGCTTTTAATTTAATTTCTATTTCTCTTATTCCAGTCCTTGAGAGAATGAAACCTATTGCTGTTGCTAGTTTCCATGAACACGTTCAAGAGATGCACGTTGACTCTGACAAAGGATTTGAAATGGAGTACAAGGTGAGTGTCTTCAATGAGCATGGTCTAACATTCAAAATATTTTGTCTCCTTTTAGTCTGTTCCGATGCAAACTGAGACGAGCTTTGACATTGGAAGGAATGAGGGTAACAAAACTAAAAATAGATGGGCCAACATCTTCCCATGTGAGTCATTATTACCTTTAAGATTGAGCTATTTTTAGAAACACTACCATGCTTTACAAAATTACAAGCTATTATTAGAAACTTACAATAATGAATTAATATCTGATTTATTGTTTTGGATGTTAGGTGTTTTCAGCAACATTCCTCCAAAGCTATTTTTAGTATCACTACTGTTAGTATCATTAACTGTTATTCTGTTGGTATGCCCATTGTTATTGTATGGGCCATTACTTCATTTGATAAATTCTAAGTATTGTGTGTATAGCACATGTAAGCATTATTCTTTATTCAGGGAACTACATTTACATGTATACATGTACATGTACATGTATATTGTTTGAGTATTAAATGTACTTAATGTCTGATAATGTATTTACTTGTAAGCTTATAGCAGTACATGTGTATGCAATTGGCCTCACCCAGCTTTGCGTAGGCGAGGACTAGGTACTGGGTTTGTCTGTCTGTCATTCATTCTGTGTGCTATCTTTTGTCTTTGAGAATGTATATCTTTACAATCGCGTGCTCTAAATCTGTAAGAGCTTTTCTTCTGTTAGGAAAAGTCTTGCTTTACTGCCTCGAAATGTTTAGAAAGCAGCTCTAGGTAGTAGAAGTATTTTAACTCATGAGAAAATGCCCAGCAATAGCTGTAGTACTCTGAAGGTAATTGAGACTCTTTTTCAGTAGATCAAGACTATTTATACAGTT